CTCTCTCTCTCTCTCTGTCTCTCTAATCTCCCCTTAATTTCTACTGAAACCAGTTGGCCTCTGTCAGCAGGGAGACTGAAGGCTGGAGCCAATGATGTCTCTTGCATAAATTCCCTTGATCGGGTGCCTTGAGAGACAGTCCGGCTGAAACGAGTCATCGCAAGGGAGTCTTCCACAAATTGTAGCCATAGATACACGTAGGCCTCTGTCCCACCACCACCCACGCGCCCCCGGGTGTTTTTGTCTCATGTATTCCTTCCTATTTGCTTTCAAATGGGGAAATAAAAACAGAGTTGGGGGGGGGTTTGTGTGTGTGTGTGTGTGTGTGTGTGTTTTGTTTTTAGGGATTCAATTCGTCCAGTTATGAGGGCGCTGCTGTAACCCCGTAGACGTTTTGTGTAAAGTTATGTGGATCATGTCTATATGTTTACTTCTGTCACGTTCTCCTCATAAGCTAAACAAATAGTCCATTGTGAGTAAGTGAGTGAGTGAGTAAGAGAGACAGAGAGGGAGTGTGTGTGTGTATATGTGTGTGTGTGAGAGAGAGAAGGAGATGGAGTGGGGATTAAGGAGTGAGTGAGAAAAAGAGGGAGGGAGGACAGAGAGAAGGAGATGGAGAGGGGATTGAAGGAGAGAGAAAGCGGAAGGGAGGGAGGGAGAAGGACAGAGAGAGAAGGAGATGGAATGGAGGGAGAGAGAGAGAGAGAAAGAGAGAGAGAGAAAGAGAGAGAGAGAGAGAGAGAGAGCATTAAGTACTGTATACACTGTGGTAACCTTGTCCTAGCTTGTGTATTTTGCACATGGCTGAAAACTTCAATAAACAGTTGATAATGATGTGTTCCCCAGCCAGTTTCTGGGAAATTAATATTATTTTAAAATGGGGAATTTAGAAGACAGATAGAAATTTACAAATAAACCCTTGGTGACTCAGGCTAAATAGACACAGGTTTCTGACAGGCAGCCTTAACTGTTAAACAAGATGAACAATCTTTAGAGAAAGAATCAGGGGAAAGCTTTGAAGGGAAAGAACCTGGGAACTTTCTATTGGCTTTAGGAGCAAATACTAAGGCTGAGCTGGGACTCAGAGGAGCTTTTTTTTCTTCTGAATTCTGGATTTAGCTCTCTAGCCTCCTTTAGCCCCTCCTTTATAACTCACTGAAGGAGGTAGATCTAAGGGTTCAAGTCGAGAATAAAACAGATCCTACAAGCTTGATGTCTGCCTCGCCTGAGTTTAAGTCAACTTTTCTCAACCACGAGTATATACAGGTAGGCAGGTAGTCCTCAACGCACAATTACAATGGAGCCCAAAATTTCTGTTGTTAACCAAGACAGTTGTTGAAAGTTGAAATTCTTGACTTCAGGAAGCACAAAGTGGGTAAGGTAGATTGCCCAGATGATTTGAACCATCTAAACTATTTCTTCCCAAGTGGTTGTCTGGTTGCCTTGGCCCCAGCATGGCTAATAAAATGTGTAATTTTAATTGTGCTTGTCAAGAAATAGGACTTACTGCATGTAAACAGAATTTCATCCATTGAATAAGCAGAAGCAAAGCCAATTTTTTGCTTTCTCTAAATAAATACATAACCAAAACAGTCAATTCGGGCTGATCCTCAAAAGCAGAGCCAGACTGAAGCCTGGTTGGTACTTAAGTGGAACATTTCATGAGGAAATCCCAGGATTTTGATTAGATTGGCTTTTTCTTCCCAGCTTTTTTTTTTTTTTTTTAATAATAAGATGACAATCCTCGGGGAAAATTATCTCATATCGTCCTTTAAGCATACCGTGTTGTCTTTTTCCACGCATGACATCATTTAACACCCATTCCATTTGCTGCTTCTCTTCTAAATAATCATTTTATGTTTGTAGAAGCATATTGGATTGGTCATACTTTGGTATTTTTGGGGAAGGCTGCAGCCCCAAAGCATTTTGAAGCCCTGATGGCGCAGTGGTTAGAGTGCAGTATTGCAGGCTGACTCTGCCCACAGCCAGGAGTTCGATTCTGATCGGGCTCAAGGTTGACTCAGCCTTCCATCCTTCTGGGGTTGGTAAAATGAGGAGCCAAATTGTTGGGGGACAATAGGCTGACTCTGTAAAACCCCTTAGAGGGGGCTGTAAAGCACCGTGAAGCGGTACATAACTCTAAGTACTATTGCTAAAGAGCCATGGTGGCACATTGTTTAGAATGCAGTATTGCAGGCTAACTTTGCCCACTGCCAGGAGTTCAATCCTGACCAGCTCAAGGTTGACTCAGCCTTCCATCCTTTGGAGGTCAGTAAAATGAGGACCCAGATTGTTGGGAGGCAAAATGTTGACTCTGTAAACCACTTAAGAGAGGGATGCAAAGCACTACGGAGGGGTTTATAAGCCTAAGGCAGGGGTCAGCAACCTGCAGTTCTGGAGCCACATGCGGCTCTTTTGGCTCTCTGCTGCAGCTCCCTCTTGGCTGATCCCACGACTGGCTGGCCCCTTCCCTCCCCGTCAGTTCTCACCTGGCCTGAGAAGGTAAGGGTGATGGCAGGGGGATAGCGACTCACTCCATATTCCAGAGCAGGAGGTGACTGGGTGGGAGTGAGCGATGTCGAGTTGGCCACGCCCACCCAGTCACACCGTATGGGAAGCGGGCCCAAATGGCTCTTTGGGTGTTTTAAGGTTGCTGACACCTGCCCTCTCCCCTCTTTGGAAGAGCTTTTTAGCTCCTGCTGCCTTAAGAAAGTTCAAAACATTCTCAAAAATCCACCTCATCCTGGGCACCCAACTATTACCATCTGGTAGATGGTACCGAATAATAAAAACAAGGACAAATAGGCGGAAAAACAGCTTCTATCCCAGGGCAGTAGCTCTTTGGAATTCTGATGTATAGTGCAATATTGATGCAATATCAGGGGTTTTCAGTTCAATGTGTAGAGGGTGAAGGACGTGTGTTTGTGTTTTTGTTTTTTTTCATGGTCATGGTCATGATGTGCAATGAAGATGGTGTTTGATTTCGTTGCAATGACAGTAAAGTAAAGTAAAGTAAACTAAGGGCAATTGCTATTAAGCAACTCAGGTTTTCAGCACTATTGCATCTAAACAGAAAAGGTGCTAAGACAGCCGTGATTTCAACTCGGAGGCCAGCTCCTGTTTTCATTCCTTTTGCATTTGGTTGATTGTGACAGAGAAGAAGGCAATTTCCCAGTTCCTAAATAATTCCCCAATGTTTTCCTTTGTCAGATGGATTGTGCACGCTATGAAATACGAACTGAAAATCCGAGCGGGGGAGATGCCCCCCGTGGATTTATACCAGTTGTCACCCAGCGAAGTGAAGCAGCTTCTGCTGGATATCCTTCACCCGCAGCAGCAAGGGAGGTAAGCCCGTTTTTTTGTGATTTCAAATCTGGGAGAGGGAAGCAGAAGAAGGCGCCAGGTGAGCCCTATTTCCCACTCCTCTGTCTACACGAAAGTGGTTTGCTTTAGCATCAGTTTTTGCTAACTTCAGCTAGCAGCATCCATCCCCTGTATTGGGACTTGCATCCGAGGTGGTATTCAGCAGGTTCGGACTAGCAGCAGAATTTTTGAGTAGTTCAGAAAACCGGCAAATCCCACCTCTGACTGGCCCCGCCCCCATCTATTCTCTCCCATCTGATTGGCTGGGTCTTCTTTTGTTGCCCTACCCAGGAGAACGGAGCTGGAAAGCAGGTTAGTAGGCTGGGGAGGGAAGGGGGATTTTGCAGTATATCCTTCCCCTGCCACGCCCAACAAGCCCACCTAAGCCACACCACTACCCCCACCAAATCATGTCCACAGAACCAGTAGTAAAAATTTTTTGAATCCCACCACTATTTGCATATCTACTTTGAGACCAGGCAGGGAGCCAGCATAAGCCAAGACCAGATCTTTCAAAATACTGCATCCAGTTTTGGTTGCCACGCTGTCAAAAAGATGTTGGGACTCTAGAACGAATGCAGAGAAGAGCAACAAAGAGGATTGGGGGGCTGGAGGCTAGAGCATATGAAGAACGGTTGCAGGGAGTGGGTATGTCTAGTTTGATGAAAAGAAGGATTAGGGGAGACATGATATCAGTCTTCCAGTACTTGAGGGGCTGCCCCAAAGAAGAGGGAGTCCAGCTATTCTCCAAAGCAACTGAAGGCAGGACAAGAAGCAACAGGTGGAAAGTAATCAAGGAGAGAAGCAACTTAGAACTAAGGAGGAATTTCCTGACAGAACAATTAATCAGTGGAACAACTTGCCTCCAGAAGTTGTGGATGCTCCAACACTGGTATTTTGTTCCTGAAGACCAGAGAACCTTCATTTATAATGAGAAAGATCGGAGGTGAGGATTGCTGGAGGAGCGAGAATTCTCCCCCCCGATGGAAGGTCCTGTCACCAATTCACAACTAGAGGCAGTAGTTGAGTTGCTTACCAGCCACTTGTTTAGCTTAGTTACAAAGGCACTGAAAAAAAGGACTGGTGGCAATGGTTCATATTTATGACGGTTGCCGTATCTCGGGGTCATGTGATCCCCATTTGCGACCTTGTGACAAAGCAAAGTTGATGAAGAAGCCAGATTCATTTAACAACTGTGGCCAATAACATGGGGCAAAACTTACTCAACAACAGTCTTGATTAGCAACAGAAATTTTGGGCTCCATTGTAGTCGTAACTCGAGGACTACCCATATTCCTGCCAGCTCCACCCAGCTCTTGTTCCACATTCACGTCTCTTTTATCCATTTCTCCCATCTGTGATTTGGTACCGAGAATGAAAATGAGGTCATCTCTGTTGTATGCTAAAATCAGAACGTAGATTTTTTTGGACTCTTATCTTGGCACCTCGTTTTCTATTCCGTTTGAAGATTTGTGAATTTGAACCCCCTACAGAAAAGTGAGGTCGAACTTTTGCAAAACTTAACTTTCTATCAACTGGGGATATTTTAAAGTTGCTAACGTTTTTGGCATCTACTGTGGGGGGGGGAGAGTGGGCTCACTTTTTGTTCCTTCCTCAAACAACATCGTCTGTTGCAGATTTGATGCGGGTGTTTGCAAAAAGTGATGCTTTTAAAATAACCGAACATTTGGCGTGTAAAATTCACTGCCAAATACATTTATGTATATAAATGCATGTCTGATACCGGCACCTGCTTCCCTCACCCCACCTCACCCCCCACATAAAGGGCATTGCTTAATTTTCTATTTGCTACCAGCTCCTGCTATTATCGATAAAATTGAATGTGTGTGTGTGTGTGTGTGTGCTTTCTGCTGAGAAGGGTGAGAAGATGGTAAATGTCACACTTCTTTTTTTTTTTCTCAGTCACTTTCGGTCCCTTGCTACTTAAGAAGATTGAATTCTTGAAGAAAACAGTCTAAGCCTTTATGTATCCTTAGAGCTTGGATTTCATTCTTCCAGCTTAGCATCCAATGATTCTGTTGCATGAATCAAAACACAGCCTGCTTGACAGCTAATCTAGGATAGCTTTCGCCCTAATTTTCTTTTTTTAAAGAATACAATGTCATTGGACCCCTGTTTTCATGACAACTTTTTCTCGCATTATCTCTTTTGGGTCTGAAGCAGAGGTGATATTCAGCCGGTTCTGACCAGTTTTGGAAAACCATTAGTGGAAATTTTGAGTAGTTTGGAGAACCGGCAAATCCCACTTCTGATTGGCCCCGCCCCTGTCTATTCTCCACCTCCCGAGTCCCAGCTGATTGGCTGGGTCTCCTTTTGTTGCCCTGCACAGGAGAACGGAGCTGGAAAGCAGGTTAGTAGGGTGGGGGGGGAATGGGGATTTTGCAGTATCCTTCCCCTGCCACGCCCACCAAGCCACGCCCACAGAACTGGTAGTAAAAAAAATTGAATCCCACCACTGGTCCAAAGCTATAATAAGTTCTTCAAAATGAAGAAATATGTTTTCATTCTCTGCTGTTTTCAGTTGTCCTCCATTTTAGGGTTTCTTCTTCTTGTTGTTGTGCCATATCCATCATCGGACATTGGCAATCATGTTGGCGATCCTATTTTTATTAACAGCTGCACGAAAAGGGGATGCTGAGTTTTGTTCAAATTAGGGTGTTTAGCCATTAATACAAGACCCAGCAACAAAAGATATCTGTCCTTCCTTCCCATTATTTCTTGTCTCCTCTTGCCATTATTTCATGCAGTATTGCACTTAAGTGATTAGGCACAAATATTATTCTATGATTCTGAAGTGGCTGTTACACAGGGCAAGCAAAACAAAACTGCCGGTAACCCTGGGGAGGAAAGAGACAAATAACCCAAACTGGATTGTTGTCATTTCCGTGGTGTGAAGAGAAGCCCGTATATGAGTACAATAAAGAATAACAGAGTTGAAAAGGACCTTGGAGGTTTCTAGTTCAACCACCCCACTCAAGCAGGAAACCATTTCAGAGAAATGATTGTCCAATCTCTTCTTAAAAACTTCCAGAGTTGGAGCTTGTACAACTTCCGGAGGCAAGTTGTTCCACTGGTTAATTGTTCTAACTGTCAGGAAATTTCTCCTTAGTTCTAAGTTGCTTCTCTCCTTGATGCGTTTACACCCATTGCTTCTTGTCCTACTACCCTCAGGTGCTTTGGAGAATAGCTTGACTCCCTCTTCTTTGGGGCAGCCCCTGAGATATTGGAACATTGCTATAGGTTAACCTATAAGAATAGATTAACCTCCTCTTTATAAGTAATAAAATTATTGGTTATGTTACATGGTACTGTTTTCAGTAGAAAGAGCAGATTTGAAGCCTTCTTAGATAAGCAGAATGCCAAAGACACCGAGTCAGCCTATAGTAAGCTCACTTCACGTTTATATCAGATCCTGCATTACTGCGGTAAAGATTCTGGTGCAATGTATACCGCTTTCGTAAGCACTGTGTCATTTCAGAGGGTATATTAACCTATAACTTGTGTGCTTGGGGTCTCTTCTGCCTTCTTTTAGTGAAAAGGTTGTGACCACTGTAGTTGCACGTGCCAATAAATGAAGCTCTGTTGCATCAGTTTGCAAAAATACTCTGGCCCCTGATTTGAGTACCTCAGATTTTGATGTGACATCATTTACATCAATTTACATCAAGTCCTTAATGGATGGTTTAAAATGATGTCTATTATGTCCTTTGCTCAAATTCTGCCATTTTGGGCAAAAAAATAAATAACCCCCCGCCTTTTTATATTCTCTTAATTCAGTGGGTTTCCTGAAGAAGGGACATATCTTTTCCACAAATTTGCTATTTTAAAATGAGATTTCATCGTACACGTTCGCTAAACAGAACTTGTGACAGTAATTTCCTAAATAAATTATCCTTCTAACGCTGGAAGGGCAATGGGAACTAAGATTAAAGTGCAGTTAAAAGCTGTGCTTTAATTTTCATGGCTTGACAAGAGTGTGAAAATAGAAAAAGCTAAGATAACTTTCAACTATTCAAAGCTTTGAATTCATTCATCATATTAACTTTCAGTTGTGACCCAAAGAGATCAGTTTTGTTCCACTGCCTTTATTCTCTTAGATAAAGCAGTTTAATGCATCAAAAATCTTTATACCGTTCAGTAAATATTTTGTCTGCTAAAAACTGAGCATTTTGTATTAATTTTGGAAGGTTTTTTTTTTACACACATCTCCACCCTTAATAGCTCAGGAGGCTTACAAAAGTGTAAGTAAAAGAGCAGAAACGGTTAAAACAAATATTTAAATGTTATTAAAATGACACAGTTTTAAAGAATTGGAATGTTAAAAGAGATAAAACAATAAACAAAGCCTGGGTAGGTTAAAAAAAAGTCCTTAATGCCTTCTTGAATTGTAATATTAAACTAGACTTCTAAAAAAATTAAAATAAGTACAGGTAGTCCTTGACTTACAACAGTTCATTCAATGATGATTCGAAGTTATAATGACACTGGAAAAAATGACTTGCCACCATTTTTCACTGTTACAACCTTTGCAGCATCCCCATGGTCATGTGATCAAAATTCAGAGGCTTGGCAACTAGTTCACAAGTTATGACGGTTGCAGTGTCCTGGGGTCATGGATTTCCCATTTTTGCAATCTCCTGGCAAAGAATGTCAGTGAGGAAGCCACTTAACAACCGAGTTACTTGCATATCATATCAAGAGCCTCAGTGGCACAGTGGTTAGAGTGCAGTACTGCAGACTACTTCTGCTGACTGCCGGCTGCCTGCAATTTGGCAGATAGACTCTCATCAGGCTCCAGGTGAACTCAGTCTTCCATCCTTCCGAGGTAGGTAAAATGAGGGCCCAGGTTGTTGGGGGCAAGAGGCTGACGATGTAAACTGCTTAGAGAGGGCTGGAAAACACTGTGAAGTGGTATATAAGTCTAAGGGCCCTTCCTTCCTTCCTTCCTTCCTTCCTTCCTTCCTTCCTTCCTT